ATATGAATTTGCAAGTTTAAATTGTGCATCTGCATCATTATTTTTAACAGCTTTTTGAAGCCAATTAAATGCCTTTTCTAAATTCTCATCTATTCCTTCACTATTTTCATATGAATTTGCAAGATACAATTGTGCATCTGTATTATCATTTTCAGCAGCTTTTTGATACCGATAAATTGCCTTTTCTAAACTTTTCTCTTTTCCTTCATCATTTTCATATGATGATGCAAGATTATTTTGTGCATCTGCAGCTGTCCGATACTGATTGGAGGATTTTTTGAAATTATTTATTGTTTTTCCAACGTTATTATTCCAATTTATAATAAGACTAGATGATACTGAATTTAATGTGCTTGATTGAGCAAATTCATGTTCTTGTGTAATAGTATTGTTATTTTTAAAAAAAAATCATTGATTTAAAGGTTGCAACAACATTTCGCATATCTGGACGTTCATTAGGTTCATATTTCCAACATTCTATTTAATAAGAAAATTGAGGTTATAATTTATTTAATAAAGACAAACAATATATATATTATACCTTGATATAAATTACTATATTCCGGAGGAGTTCCATCAATGATTGTTTCTCTTTTTCCAGTTAATATTGCTATGGATAATAATGTCGAATTAAAATCAAACCTTTCATCGTGAAAAGGTTGCTTTCCACTTGAAATTTGCCACATCAAAACTCCAACGCTATAAACATCAGATGATTTATTTAATTTGTAATTCGGATTTTCTAAACCTTTTGGATCCAAATAGGAGAGTACACCCATTATATTTGAAACACTCTTTGACACTTCAGCAATTTTTTTGGATAAACCAAAGTCTGCTAATTTAATCTTTTTCTGATGTACAAGTATATTGCTTGCATGCTACATAAGTTAGTTTATGAAATAAATATTATTAAGAAACACAGTAAATATAAAAACATAGCAATTTTCAAACAATTATTTTACCAGATCACGATGAATAATATCACAATCATGTATGCATTCTACAGCACTTGCAAGTTGCAAAGCGAGCTGAAATTTTTCATTCCAATCGAGGTCATTAAAATGCGTATTTAAGTAAGCATTTAATGTGCCACTATCAGCGTATTCTAAAACCACAGAATAACTTTTCATTGCACCTGCAGTATATAAAAAGGATTACTTAAATTTACTTAATATAGATAGATTTGTCACAATATATTGATATAATTTACCGGTTCCTCCATTTGTGATTCCATAAAATCGTAGAATATTTGGATGGAAATCAACTTTTTTATGTAATTTTACCTATAAAGTAATATAATTTATATAAATTAAATTTTAATTTTTTCATCAAAAGTTTAGAATATACATACCTCATTTACGACTTTTTCCAAACCTGTCATATCGCTTTTAAAGGATTTCAAAGCAAAAAAACGATCCGGACGTTTCCAATTAGCACGTACAACATTTCCAAACGCACCACTTCCAATTGATTGGAAATCGCTGAAGTCGGAATACTCATATTTATTGAGATATTCCTCTGAAATTGATTTTTCGAACCAACATATCGATTCTTCATCTAACATTTTTTTTTATTCTTTAAAATAAAAGTTCGTTTGCATTATGTAGATCAATTCCAAAGCAATGTGGATTTATAGAAATTAATTTGAAAATCGTTGCCTTTAATGGAGTATATATTCGTGCAGATCGGTACGTTATTTCAGATTCTATCATATTGAGAGGTACGATTATATATTACTGATCAGCCGAACCGTACCATACCGGTTCTCCTCCCTCCTTAAGTGTACAAGCTACACAAGCGTCCAGTCAAAAAATTTTTTTTTTTTGATTCTCGTGACAAATTTTTAAATTGACCCGGTCACCCTTTTTATTTTTTATTTTTTATTTTTTTTATATTGTTAAATCATCTCTTATTATCTAATTATCTACGATTTTTTTTTTTAAAAAAAAAATATGCCGATAATCATTGTATATGTAATAATAAAAAAATAATGTTTACTATCACGAGTCCAAAAAAAAATAAAAATATAAATAATCAAAATAAAAAAATAATGTGAATAAAGAAATAATAGAAAAGAAAGAATTTATAGTTTTTAAAGTAAAGAGAAGGGAAAAACTTGAAAAAAAATAAAAAATTAATTGCTTATCTTTTATCCTTGATTTAAGTTATTTTTGTTATTTATTTTTGTGGAAAAAGTTTTAATTTTATTTAAAAAATATACATATATAAAATGACGATTTTGAAATGAATTATTAATTAAGTATTTATATTTTATGGTAAACTGACTGGTCGTCATAATGAGAAATAAGAAGCTTACGCCTATTGCTGTGTGTTTGTTTATAATAATCATATAAATACTTACCAAAGTCTAATTGTTATCGCGAAAATTTTATTAATGGCGTTGTTATCTCAGGTTTCTTTTTTTATTGTAGTATTGAAACAACTTAGATAAATATTTATAAACATTTATAGTCTTGTTATAAAATGATCTTCTTTAGAATAGACCGTTATTCAGTTCAAAATTAATGATCAATCCGCACAAAAATGCATTTCTCTTTTCAAATAAAATAATTTATTACGTTGAGAAATTGGTTATAACCAACTCAAATCTGTATTAGTGAATGGGATCGATCTAAAAAGTAAACTAACTTATAAAATTGATTAATCGTTTCTCGAGATTCGATTTGTAGTTTTATCATCACCAGCCATTAATTTATAAAGAAAAAAAACTATTTGTCTTAAAACACATCAAAAAAAAATTTATATTTTAAATTTATTGAAAATTAGATAAGAGCAGTACAGTATAAAAAGAAAATGTTTGAAATTCATCCTTTATTGAATATATTTTTCCTTAAAAACTTAAAATCATATATACTTTTATCAGACTGTATGGTTTAATAGCAATTCTTATTTTTTTTTAGTAATTACTTTTCGGGTTTGGAAATTTCAAAACTGTGATATCTAATTAATTAATTGTAATTTTCTTTTTTATCGTGTTCAAATATTTTATTTTTCCGCCTTTTTGATTTCTTTGAGAAATTAAAATGAATGGTTGAAGAACTTTCTACTGTGACAACAGCATTGGCGGATATTTTATTTTTATTATGGATATATATTCCTTCCTTAAATAATAAAACTCACTTTGTCCATAATATAATATTATTCAACTGAGGCGCTTTGATCCATTTTGCTCTTAAATATGAATGCCCATGCTAATTACTAAAGAGATTCAAATTCAAATTTTGGGCTAAGTGGTTGTAAGAATTTATAGTATATCAAAACTTATACTTGAGGAAAATGAAGTTGCACAAATAATTATGCACTATATTTTCGAATGTATTTCTGCGTCATCCATGCAGCTGTTGTAACACAAATTTCTTTAATGTCCGATATCGGAATGCGCATTTGGGATATGCGAAGATTGTTTTGGTCATGAATTTGCCCCAAATGCGAAAATGCTCACTTCGGGATAATACCCCAAATGAACACCACTTCACCCAAATAATTGCTTCTAATTGTCTCAAATAGCCACTTCGGTTATCCCAATTATCATTTCGTTTACTCAATATGACTATTTATGCTCCAAAAACCATTTCTAATGATCCAAATGACAAATATAGAGCATATTAATTCGTAATTCAGCTTTTGGACATATAATGTTAATTTCCTATGATGTCTGTGGTCATTTGGGATATCCCAAGTGAGCATTTGGGTATTATCCGAAGTGAGATATCCCGATTTTGGATATCCGAAATGCTCATTTCGGATATTAACGCATTTGGACTATGATGAAATAAAGTAACACAATGTCCTTCATGAATTAATAAGATTTCCCTTTATAATATGAAACTTCACACAAAAGAATTTTTGTATTTTTAGTATTTTTTTATTTCAAGGTTATTGTTAACATTATTACAATTATGTAGATCAATTTTGGCCAAAAAAGTCCACCGGTTTCGCCAATATTTCCATCTGGCCAATATGGGGAGCCGATCTATTAAAAATGGGTTACAAGAAATTGATGATCAAAAAATAGTTACGCCACAATAAACATACTTAGCTAATAAAAATTGCACTAAAAATAATATTTAGTCTAATAAGGCGATACTTTAATTTTATATATATAACCTTTTTATTATAATAATTATTTTTACAAATATTAAATTATTTAAAAATAATGAAACTATAAAATAGCTATTAAATCCGCCTTGTCAAAAATATTTGTTACATCAATTTCGTTTTCGTAACATGGTAGATTTTAAAATTTACGTCGATCATTTCTATATTTGATTGACATTACACAGAAATTTAAGCATTTTTGCCGGCCAAATTACTTATAATCTAATAGCCTCTAAAAATTTAACCAAATAAAGTTCATTCAATATACTATAATATGAATCAAAAATCTCGTTTTTTGTTGAAAGGTTCCCATAGCCCATTTTTAATAGCTCCCATAAGTCTACTGGACAATTATGTCCTTTATTATTTCGGGTATGTAATGGCGGGATTTTTTATTTTCTTTTCTTTTAAATGTAACTTCCGATATTCCTAATAATAAAAAAATAGCATTATTTCCTTTCCCTTTACATATTATTATAATAATTCCGAAATATATAATTAATAAACATGCCTGGTATATAGAGCGCTGACGTTGAGGCAGTACTTTATCTATGTTGTATTAAAATAAAATTTCCGATTATTATTAATAAAATTCATTAAAACACTAATACACAAATCCTTCTGCTTACCTTATAGCCCATGAACTGCTATTAATATTATTTAATTATATGAATAAATTTCCTTCCGTTCATCAGCCCTGATTTAATTGATATCAGAAATTTTGAAGGAAATGACGTATAGAAGTTATGAAAACAATTATTAAAGGAACAAATAAAGCATTGTAACCAATTGTCTATGTCTTACAGGTCCGGGTTATACTCTTGTGAGTTAGATATCTGATCCGCAAGTTTGTTCAAATTCAATTCAGGTTCTCGTGTTAGCTACAAAGAATTGTCTTCTACTTTTACCACAACTTCGTGGGGTGGAAATTTATTTCTAAAAGTGATTTGTATAATTAGGTAATTGATAAGTACTTTTACTAACCATGACAAATTAATCTTCATTAGATAAACCACCGAACATTTCTTTTTCGTAGAAAAACTCAGAAAGTTAGAGATATTTACATTTACATGTTATTGTTTTAAAGGTTTCAAAATTTTTTAGACATTTATTCAATATGTGTCGATGGATTAAATATTTTATTAAAATAAAATAAAATTTCATGTAAAAATTTCTGAATCATTGAATTTTACAATATGGGAGTTTTGCTAGGAAAATGGGGCTCTGGGCATTTTTTTTTTAAAATTTTAATTTTTATTGCATTATAATGTTAGATTAATATGCAATAAAAATTAAAATTTTTAAAAAAAATGCTCAGAGCCCCTTTTCCTAGCAAACCTCCCATATGATAAAAAATTTAAACAGAAATTTATTTTTATAATTTTATTCGAAATTTTTTACAAATGAATAACATTTTAAAATATTTCCAAGTGCGAGATTTGTAATCTTTGTAATCATCAAATCAGCTAGATTTCGGGTCTAAATATCAAACAATAAGTACATCACAAGTTATCCTACTATGTTATAATTCATGTGAATTACATTTATAATTCTGGCACAACATATATCTGTTATGCTACCGCAGCTCTTTAATATGCATTAATCTCCACTATTTTTGAATGTAAAATGCATTAAAATTTACAATTGTTTCTCAATATAAAGTGCGGTAATTTCAGAGCATATTTCTAATCTGACCACAGAGCATATAACGTAATGCATTAATCTTATGATAATAAATGTAATATGCGTTAAAATTAACATATTTTCTATAATAACATGTATCAAATTTCTATTATAATTACACGGCCGTATATGATTATTATACTTGACCGTGGAGTGAATAGTCACGGAGAGAGTTTATTTAAACTATGATCGTGATCGTGATATTACAATTTAAACTATTAATAATATATATTTACTTTAAAAATTTTAAAAATAATATATTATTCTATTTACTAGAATTTTATATGAATGTATATAAAGCAGCATTATCGCGAAGTTGAATGTAATAGTTTTTAATGTATAATTAAATGTGCGTAGCGTCTAAAGACTTTATAAACGAATAATTTTGATTTGATCATATACATTTAGACCGAAAAATGATAACGCAATTAAATTTACTAAAGTATTCGATTATTTTTTATTTCTTGTTTATTGTTGGATTACTTCTTGCTTATTTTTTATATAAATTGATTTAATAACAATTGCGCCCGTAAAAGAAAAAAAAAAGTTAATGATAATTATGATAGTAAAGAATATAATAATCAGGGGGCAGAATAATTATACCGTAACTTCACGGGTAATCGGCGATTACCCGTGAAGTTACTCTAAATAAAATGCATTAGTCCTGCTTATTAAAATATACTATACTTAAATTAACACATATTTCATAATTTTCCCATGGTAATACTGTATGTAGGGTTAATAGGACCGGTCTTTACGGTCCTCGTCCTTATTCTGACGACCGGTCTGGACTGGTTCATAATATTATGTGCATGCAGTCGGTTGGCAATGAAGTACCCTTAGGTTTCAATTGTTACCAAAGAAACAATAATCATCGAAACTATAATCAATCTTTTGAATAGTTAAAGTTGATATATAGAATTAAATTGTTAAATTAATAATTTTAATTTAAAAACTAATTAGACCGACTCAAGTTCGATCTCAAGAGAAGTGATATATAATATTTTGCTATTGTAAATCCCTATTTTGTCACTGGAATTTCTACTAAAATGAAAAGTATAAATCTTGAAATCAATTTTATTAAGTTGATTCGAATTTATTGATTGATAATGATTTCGGTCGTTTCAGCAAAAATTTAATTGATATGTAACTTCTCGGATATCCTAACGAAATTAGTAATTTTTGGAATTGGAATTAGGCATGTCATGTACATCCTGAGAATTTTTAATTATTTGAACCGGATAATTTTCTAAAAAAGTCGTCAATTCAAATTTCCTTAATCATTTCAATAAATCGTGGGACTTGTACTACAATACCTTATTAAAATATCATGCATATCTTTAAAAAGTGTTTATATTCGTGAAGTTCTTATAAATTATTAATTAAAAATATCTTGGTAGTAAAAATGAAACTTTTTGTTAAGTTTATTCAAGAGACTCAGCTAAATGCTCTAAAGTAACGAAAGTATGATCTATTAAATTTCATATATATTTAATATTTGCTAAAGTGGAGTTATTCACTTTCTAATAATCAAATAAAAATAACAAAAAATCTTTTTATAACAACTGAAAAGTGTACGGCTTACAAAACAAGAAAAAAGAATTCCAATTAGATTTCATAGGGATATAAATTTATCTATCCATTTCTCAACTTGTCGATGAAAATTTTGGCCTGCTTTAATTCATCATTCAACCATTTTTTATCAGCTTGTAAGTGATATCTGAAGAAAATAATGAATCCAATTACAACTTTACATTCTCTTCATGGATATACCTAAATACACATATATCTGTTTAATGTTAGAATGATAAATGAGCACGTTATAAAATTTTGTCAAATGTATGTTGACATACTTTAGGTACTCCGTCAGTTTTAAACAAATTTCAAGATCCTCTTCACCCATAAGCGATTATTAATTTTCTTTTTCAACTTATTCTTTATTTTATTCATCATGTTCTGCAATTTGTTAATTTCACGATTATGTCTACTGTCGAACCTCTCAAGATCATAATATACTTACATACCGCTTCTTCCCCTTTCTTCTTCATAACATACCCCAGCCTGATAATTATGACAGAAATCACTTACGTTATTATAAATTTATCAGGGATTTGATCTCGGTGTTTTAGTTAACCACCAGAGTTGAATTTTTTTTGCTGCTGCTTGAATCTGAGGAGATTCCTGAAGAAACTTTGTCATAGTTATAAAGTCGCTCTTGGAACTACAAATCGTTCGTCATAAACACAAGTCCTTTGCAGTGTGGGAATTAATTCAGCATTTATATCTACCATAATATTTGGATCAAGATTTGCCGAACAAATCCCTTTGATTTCCATAATCATCTGAGAGTCTAGCTTGTTGTCACACGGTAAGAAACATTTAACTAAACCCTCTTATAATTCCTTTGGTAACGCTTTTCTTTATGGTAATACTTTGTAAAAGAATTCTTTGGAAGATAAACTGTAAAATCTAATAAATGGAATACATGGTTTCAAGGTATTCTTCAAAGAATTAAAATCATCTTTTGTATAGCTGGAAGGATCCGAGGAAAGTTTTGGATTTTGAGCAAGTCCCCATATTCAAACGAGAAATTTGAGCATCACTCATTGAAAGTTTATCATTGATTATAAGAATAATCAAATACTTTTCTGTAGTTGTAACCAAATTTACGTTCTGTAATAATTTCTCTGGCTCTTTTGATATTAAGTTTATACAAAACTTTTGAAGTTCCATGAAAGAAGTATTTTTAATACTTGCTTTATATATAAAAGTGAAAGTTTTTTCCAACCAATTTAGTTTATTTTCATAAACGATCAACTCTTGAAGACGTAATTAAATTGCAACAAACAAGAAATCAAAAATATCTAAACATTCATATTTCTTTAAACCAAGATTTGCTCCGTAAATATATCTTGAATAAATAAATTTTTTGTTAAAAAAAAAGCTACTTTGTAACGTAAAAGAAAATTCACTTAATAAAGATAATTAGCTGTAGCTAATTGAAATTTATTTTAATTAACCTCAAGATGACATGAAAACTTTCGGGTGAAATATTTGGTAATTTTATATGTACCAACTTTCCATCATGTCTCTTGTTAATAGTAGACAAGACGTTCGGAAATAATAAGAATGATAGTTTAAAATTATCATATGGGCGCGAAATATTTTTTTACATAAGGATCTTTTCCAACTTCAATTTTAATATCATAGTATTTTTATAGTCTAAACTTTCAAGTAAATTTCGTGATAATGTTGGTGAAAGCTTATTATCAACCATTATGATATTTTAATTTCAAAAATTAATTTTCAAAGAGAGAATTATTGTTGATTTTACGAGGATGCAATTATTAAATAATGATGTTACATAAATCATAGAAAATACGTTATGTGACATCTCCTGTACCTACAAAAACTTGTTTCCTCATTTCTTTCTAATATATCTAATATATAAAAACTATATTAAGTTTAATATTCCAGCGAATTGGACAATTATACAATCGTATGGTACTCAATTTTAAAGATAAAAATTCTTGCGTAAAACCTGTGTTCGCGTAAAGTAACGGGAGAACAGCATCTATTTTATGCATTATTTAAACGGAAAATGCCTTTTATACTGTATATTAGTTCATTTTAAATAAAGTTTTCTGAACTTAAGCTAAAGTAAAGAACCTATGACGGGTTTGAGAAAAAGAATTATATTTAAGAATCGCAAATTTACTTTATGGTATTGTTTATATGAATTTGTAGCGTGGTTAAACAATTTAATTTGTTTTATTAGGCCCATTTCTTATCAATATATTAATAACTGTGACTAAATCTTATCTGTTATAAGTTTATTCTTTTGTGCTCTTTTGATGTTCATAATGGCGCTAATTAATGACAAAGTAATTCATATTATCTAAATGAAGATGTCCAATGTTGATTAAAGATTTAATCGATTCAAGAAAGAAAGTACGATCGTTAATTGCAAAAAAAAATTTTTTTATCGTTATAAAAGTCATTTGCCAAGAAAAATTACTATTTTTTATTAAAAAAATTAACCCTTTCACAAATTTTACATTTAAGATTATATATTCTTTGAGTATGTTTAAGTAGTTTTTAATAGATAAGTAGTAATTCAGTTCTGATCTATGTTGTTAGCAATAATTGTACTTGATTTTAAAGAAACAATCCACTTGAAATTAAGGATTCAAGTACATGAAGTACATTAGATTCAACAACTAAAATCGGAAAGTCATGGAAGTTTACGTAGTAGTTGTTTCGTAATCGTTGTATCATACTTAATAATCACAAAAAATTTTAATTCAGCCCGAAAATCCGTAAATAAATAAATAGTTATAATTAATAAACAATAAATTCTCAATAATGCTTTCAAACAAACTATACACATTAAACACGATTATTATTAATATCGATAATTGCCGTTGATATAATCGTAACTTGATTTAATTATAGGGAAAACCAGTACGCATGATCAGATTGGTCTTTCTATAATATTATTGAGATACTATATTTTGGAATACTTCCGTACCGTGCTGGTTCCCCACCCCCCACACATTCTCATATAGAGCTTCAATCAACCGGGTAAGATTATTTTTGAATGACAATTTTATTAAAATTTGTATGCCAAATAATAATATTAAAAATTAAAAAAGAAGTATTTATGTTCTTTTAAACTCGATTCATCATTGTATTAAGCAAAAAAAAATAACTCACTCAAATTTAAAGAGTAAGAAACTCACTCACCTTCAACATATTTCTTTATAATAATGATCATTAGTAACATAAAATTCATATTTTGAGACGGAATTACATCATTTGGAATGTTTAATAATTCATGTTGAATTGTTTGTAAACGGATTAATTCGTTTGTACGTAAGGTATGTTCAAATATTTCAACAACGCTCCCAGTTCTTTTATGATTTATGAAGAACATGTATAATTTATTTTCGTTTTCAGGGTCTTCATATATTCCGAAATCATGAGTAGCAAAATCATTTTCGGAGGAAAATTTTTAAGGGAAATAAGAATAAGCTTAACATTCTAAATTTAATTATTTATTTTGAGGAAAAAATAAATGATAAATAAATCAATTTATATTTATTCGTATAAAAAAAAAAGGTATTGATTGTTTCAATCAATTTGTCGATCGCAGAATATTGCCATCGATCAAAATTGGTTTCTATGAATGATCGATTAACAATTCTTATGTTTGATCGATTATGTCATTATGATATAATATGGCGTATAAATAAACAAAACAATAAACAAAACTAAATAATATAATTATTAACTAGAAGTTGCGATATGCAGGGGACTTCGTCCCCCATTAAGCGTCAGATTAAATATCCTATATTCATATAAATAAATTTATATTATAATCAATAATATTCGTATCTATATCTACATAAATATTTTGTTGTATTTGCAAAGTTATTTAATAAATTTTAAAATAGGAGAATTTTTTAATAAACATTTTATTAGATTAAAATTTTTATTTATTTAAATATATACTATATTTATAAAGGTAAAGAAGTATTTGATTTTTGTTCTAATCTTTCATATTCTTTAAGCATTTATTCATCAGTAATAAATGCTGAAGGATGTAATGAGACGATATGCACTTTTGACCAGTCAGAGCATCGGCTTAATGCAACATAGGCTTGACCAGCAGAAAATATTTCTTGATGGATAGAGAAACTCTTTCCTGTTTATCCCAAAATGACCAGAAAAAACAGCGAGCAAAAAACAAACAACGAGGACGTTCGTCTTCTCCTTTAACAATACAAAAAGCAAAAAAACAAAATACAGCGCAAACGGTAGAAATTCCACCCACCCAACAAACTACCGAGACTCCAGAACCGGTAGTGTTTATGGAAGTTGACCCTCCATCTTCAAAAAAAGCAAAGAAAAAGAAACTTTGGAAAAGACTCCAGCAATAACCACTACCACTCTCGACGTTGATGCTAGTATTAACGCATCAGAGAACTTCTTAGACAAAAATACGTCCTCAGTACAAGCTTTTAAACATCAAAAGCCTTCTTTCTACAGATATTCTCCCCTCAAAGAATTTCCAGGAAAGTCGTCACAGCAAAAAGTCTCTTTCGTTGTCGATTTACTTTTCGACAAGTATGATTCGTTCTCACGAGTGAATTTAGCCAAACAACCTAAGGACCAATCACAACGCATCATTAAAATTTCCTTTTGCAACTAGGAAGAACGAGATCATACGTGTTCAGTTCTATTACCCAATTTAGAAAACCACACGTTCCTACCACTTGATGTTGTATGAGCACAACCGTATGTTCCTGCAAGGTTGATCAAGGTGACAGAAATTCCCTTGGATTTTACGGAACACAGGATCAAGACTAAGTTCACCAAATTCAGTATGATCGTCTGTTTCACAATGGAAACAAAGAATATGTGGCAACAAGCCACCACTTTCGCAAAGGATACAAATTTTAAGGGTTGAAAGATTGCTACAGTCTCTTCGTATTAAACGATATAGTCAGAATCCACATGTGTGACCAATCTCATTTAGATATTCTAGCATGCTCTAAATTTTTAGCAAATCTTGCCAGTCTTCCTAGATTCACAACAGGTAAACAACTCAAAGAAATTGGAACAATGATTGATGCTATTTCTTGGGTTATACCTAAAGCCCAGTCCAATTACCAAAACTTACAATATGTATTTTTCTACTTTGCCACTGCAGACGATGCTGAAGCTGCAATTTCTAATGAAAATCTTACCATAGATAGAAAACACATGACTTGGACTGGATCAAAGGTCAAACTTTGTGCTATTTGTTCATCACCAAATCACAAAGCTAACAGTTGTCCACAACGTAAGAAATCTCCGTCTAATAGATACATGCAAAATCTTTATCAAAGATTCCAACCTGCACAGTACTCTAATTATAAGGCTCCACCTAAGAAAATGAGAGGCGCAGTAAACTCAGACATCACTTTTGCCCATGTCACTAAACTACCATCTATCATGAACGACAACCAACGATCGACACCACCAAGCAATAATAATAATAACAACAATTTCAATAATAACAATAATAACCGTAATAAACCACCTTCACATTTCGATAACAAATGAAATGCACAATCTGGTTCATGGTATGATGATATCCCACCAAACATGAATGAAGAAATCCTTTTTGACAACACTATTTGTCTTACGCCCAATGGCACGGTATATAAAGGTACTAAAGCAGGCGGATCCATACATGCTAACAATGATGATGAATTCAAAGAATACATCAAGTTCTAATTTATTAATCTTAATGAAAATTTGAGCATCCTTATGAGCACTTTAGCATTTA